ATGACAATATTTTTGTAATAGTATGATTTAAATCTCAACATTTATTCTCATAATTTTATTTATTTTTTTTACATTTTCTTAGCCTGACCCTGATACTGCATCATAATATCAAGACCATAAAAAGAATAATGTTCAAATATTTCACCCTTTAGATGTTCATTATTGATATATTTTGTATCCAACTATTTAATGTGTATAAATTTTGTGAATCAGTTATTGGATTATGAGCCTTTCAGTTCAAGTACAGATTAATTTATTTTTAAATCAAGATGTCTGAAGCTCTAATGAGGGTATAATGCTTTTTATTCAGGTTTATTCTGTTAATATAATGGACTATAATGGATTAAGTTATATTTCTAACTCCGTTCTGCTTCATTGGGTTGAGCGACCTCAATCACCAAAAACACTCGGGTACGATTCAGTTTGTCTACAGACTGAAGCGGATCCCAGAACGCCGCAGGAACCGGGGCATTTGTCAAACTCACAGCGGAGTCTGTGAAAATAAAAAAAGTACCTCAACGCCAAACCACAGAGGTATTCCTGTCACGACCGAGTGATCAATCCAGCCGCCACGTAGGCCATTAGGAGTTTGAAAAACTGCAGATTCGGTCTGAAAAGCTGATTGCCTGCTGGAATTAGTGACATTCTTCAGTCCTAAAAATGGATTCGCCGTATTAAACCTGCAATATATGCGGTTTGCTCGGGGCTGTTGGTGTGTGAGAAGCAGCGCGGGGACCTCAGTCGGGTCGCGGCGAGATGAGAGGAATCCGTCACTGTAAATGCCAGGCGGTTCAGTGGAGCAGTAATGAGTTAATGTGAAGGTGGAGAGCAGCCATCAGTATCAGTGTGTTACACCCAGAGGAGGGTAAAGTAACAAAAATTATACTCAACTAAGAGTACAACTACTACAAAGTAGTTTTACTCAAGTAAAGGTAAAAAGTAGCCATCCAAGAAATAAGTAAGAGTAAAAAAAGTATTTGGTAAAAAGTGTACTCGAGTAATGATCAAATTATCAATCCTCTATTATTTAAAAATTACATCATCAGACGGACCAAATTATGAAGTTAAGTGGAAATTTTTGTATTTTAGGCACCAAAATGACAATAATTCATATCAGCAGCAAAACAAAATGTTTCCAAATCAGTTTCTGTCAATATGAAACTTTAACAAAAACTGCAGGCATTTTGGTTAAAATGTGTTTGTTTTGCATTCAGTGGGTAGAAAATCCAGAAATTTTATTCAAATAAGAGTAGAGATACTTCAAAATAAAATTACTCAAGTACAAGTATAAAGTACAGCGCAGTAAAATACTTCTAAAAGTAAATTTTTTTCAAAAACGTTACTCAAGTAAATCTGAGTAAATGTAACTAGTTACTACTGGATTTTGAGTGTCAAATGGCTGAACAAAAATATTAGCTATATTGTGTTTAAAACATTTTGAAAACCACCAAACATTTTCCTTCCACTTCACAACGATGGACTAGTTTCTGTTGGCCAACCACAGAAAATACCCTCAAGATGCTTTGTTTGTAACTTTTATTTTCACAGTGGTTTATGAACCAGGCTAAATTTTCTAGTCACACGATTAGCCTGACTAGCTTAGCATAGATAATTGTTTTTCAACCTTTTTTGAGCCAAGGTACATTGTTTTAATTGAAAAAATCACCAGGCACACCACCAACCAAAAATGTAAACAAAGATACTCTGTAGCCGCTTATATTACATATATAGTCATTCTTATCAAAGTGTCTTGAATAGGAATCAAATAAACACAAAAAAATTATTTTATCATATTTTACATTTCTTATTTCAAATTGCACTTAACATGTCCACTTCAAAAATACACCTGAACAGCCACAACACTGTCGTGTGACTAATTCTCTTGTTTTAATGTAAAATGCTCTGTACCTGCTGCCATCTAGTGATAATAAAATTACATGATTACGCCACTAGTCACTACTACAGCAAAGACACTCAAAGATGGCATTATTTGCCAATAATTCATTTGTTTTCAAAAAATCTTTTAAGACCAATTACCGTATTTTCCGGACTGTGAGCGCACCATATTATAAACCGTACCTTTAATTTTTTTTAAAGCCCCCCCTCCCCCCCGAAACTTGCATATATATCAGCCGCACAAGGCTACAGACCGCTGGTATCTCTGCCGCTCTCGGTTTCCCATAAGGACCCAGCAGAGGGCTGCATCCTAATAACTGCTGGATATATTAAGGACGCAGTTCTCCGTCTCCAAATCCGGTTTTGTTCACGCTGAGTTTACGTGCAGCGGCTCTATTTCCCTCCTGTTCTGCCAGATCGACACTCCTCAACTTAGAAGCTGCATCATATGAGTTTGAAAACATTTCTCCATCGTGCCTGCTGCTAGCATGTGGTTGTTCTAAATGAAAATCAGCGCGTTCTTCTTTGATTTCCAATTTTGACTTCCAATGGTTCACTTCCTGCTGAAGAGCCCCCTGGTGGTTGAAGAAAAATCCACAGAAAAACTGCATGTTCAAAGTGTAGGAAAGAAGTAGGATCTTATAGTCCAGAAAATACGGGAGGTGAAATTGGATAATTTCCACGGCAGACCTGACGATCACTCACAGTACACTAGTGTGCCGCGGCACAGTGGTTGAAAAACTCTGGCATAGATTAACTGCATACAACTCAATTTTTAAAGCCATTATGCTAACTCTATTCAACTTATCAAGTTAAAGTCAAAATTATTGAACCATTATAGAATACAAATTGTAAAAAAAGAAAATATTTAATTTTCCAGTTTTCCAGTTTATGAAGATGTTGCTTATTTTTGTCAAACATCATTGCCAAGGGTACTTGAGTTGGAAATTAACCACTTGGCTAATTACTCCATATATGAACCCAGTGCTATATCTCAGAACTTTCAGCCAAAGATCCAACAACCCCAAATTGGTTCCTTATTCTGAATTAAAACTTTCCAATCAGATTAAAGAGAATAAAGGAAGAAAAAATGAGAAGGAGGGAAGTGGATTGGAGCTTTGGACTTTTTCTGATTCTGGGCAGAAAATCTTGTTTCATGGTGGAGTAGGGATTTTGTTCCTAAAGAAAAAGAAACTCCATCATATCGACTCCACCATCTGATTTGCTGAGGGTTTTTTTTTAAACAGTGGCAGACAATGCGTTTTTTTCAAAGCATTTGCTTTTAATTTGCAGCCTCTCAGGGCTTGTCATTTGGGCCTTCACAGGTTGATTGTATTACAGAAAGATACAGAGTAATTGACCAGATTAAAACCTCCCTCTTCTCTCATTTGATTCTCCACCAGAAACCACCGGGATGTCCATTAGGCCCTGAGATGTTGATTAGAGAGACATATCTGATGTCCTGATAGCTGATGATAGGCGAATCAGATTTTCTGTGGTTAAACGCTAGCATGATGTCACACAGGAATCACTTTGAAAAGCCAGAGAGGCAGGAATTCGATTTGTAGCGTCAGAAACATGACGGTCACGGCTGTCGGGTGACGCAACGGTTCTGTTTGATGTTTGGCTCAAGAACATGTTGCGGACATGTTGGAAATGTCATGCTGTCTTCACAAAATAACAAAAGGTTTTGATTGCTGGAGTCTGAGTCAGAGGAGAACGGCTTTATGAGCTCAGCTGTTACAGGTCTGATGGCGTTTTGCTCACAGTTTACTCTGGATTTGGCTGACAACTTGATCCATACGGGCATAATTTGTTGTTTTTTCCTCACATCATAGTTTGATTACCTTTTGGTGTACTCTAACTTTATTTGCATTTAAAATTTTGTAGTTAAAGGTTAGGATAGCTATATGGCTTATACAAAACATGTTCATTACATGTTTTGCACAAACTCATTCTTATAATGACATTTTATCTTTTCTGGGGCATCTTGTCACTTTAATCCAAATAAACTGCTGCAGGCCCAACTCCACATTTACACTTGCATGTGAAAATGACTGCAAACAGATGGAGAATTACTGAACCATACATCTTTGAAAAGCATTAGTAGAGCCTCCAGCACAACCAGCAAGAATGCAGCAAGTGGTTTCTGGATGGTAAGTCAACAACAAAACACTAATCTTTTCCAGCAGCCATTGTACAATGTATTTTTGTGTTTTGTTTTATACATTTTATATCACTTATATTGTATTTACAGATATTTAACACTTTGGAATAGCTTATGAAGTAATAAGCAATTCTATCTTGGGGATCAACAAAGTCTATTCTATTCTATTCTATTCTATTCTATTCTATTCTATTCTATTCTATTCTATAGTAAAACCAACTGACCAAACTGTTCTGTTGGGTTGCTAGGTAACGGGCTGGGGTTGTTAGGTAACGGGGCAGTGCCTGCTGATTTGTACCACTATATTCCAAATGTTTTTCCAGACACCATAAAAATCTTAATTTATTGCCAAAAAATGGCTGGGTGTTTTTTTTTTAAGCTCTTGGGGTGATTTTAGAAACAGTAGAGGCCCAAATGGAAGTACAAAAAGATCCAAAATGTAAATTAAAGATTAATTACAGCTGTCCAGGTGTACTACTCAAACACTGAACATAATTAAACACATAAAACAATATTTTTTTCCTGTACAGCAGAGTTGCGTAGAAAACTAGTTTCATGTAATCTGAGAGTAATAAACACTTTTGCGAGGAAGAGTGTGCCAACATTCCTCCTTAGTGATGTTTTTGCAAACGCAAAAGGGAGCATTTACTTTTTATATTGTTTTAGAACAGGAACTTTGTTTTTTATTAATACATTTAATTATCATTCAAAAATAACTTTTACTATCCACTCTTGTTGACTTTTTCTGTTGTTAAAACTTGTGTGATAATATGAAAAGTTTAAGTGGTTCATAAAAAGCAAAAACAGAATAAATTCATTGGGTGCAAATACTTTTTTAAAGGCGTTTGGGATGATTTTTTTCTGAAACAAAACTCAGTAGAACTGAATTGCTGCTGCAGCAAATAAATAGTAGAGAAAATTTATGTCTAAACTCCAGATTTCAACTGAGAAGCCTGCAGAAAACCCTACCCTTAGTGTGTCTGTGCCCTTGACCTTGTCCTGCGACCTTTGACCCTGACTTTAATCCTCTCAGCCCTCCTCTGAGCTCGTTGTTTCATGCCTGGTCATGCACAGTAGCAGCAGCAGCAGCAGCAGCCGCCAACAGTGAGTTCTGCCAATATTCATCCCTATTGTTTCTCATCAGAGGGACGCTGCAGCTGATATCACTCAGGAACTGAACTGGTGACACTGAGGATTATTAAAAAAATGCTTTGTGTCCCGTATTTGGTTTCTGCTGCTCAGCGTTTGTTTCAGAAAGATGCAGCCTGAGCCGTCAGCAGACAGCTTAGAGCTACAAATCACAAGATGCTGAATAAGACGTTAGTTTCTGGTGAAAACTCATCAGTTTAAGAACAAACTTCAGCAAAACATTCAGGTTAGTACCGTTATAACTTTTATTTACAGTTTTTTTATGAATCAGACATTAGTCTACAGTGGAAATGTTCTTCAGGTGATAGAAGGCTGACTTTGTTGCTGTATTTATGTGACTGAATGTTCAGGTTTCGCTGCTACAAAATAAAACTCAACTACAGCTGCAAAAAAAATATTTTCTAAATACGCTCTAAGTAAAATATTTCATTTTATTTTATGACAGCTAACAAAATTAAATAAAAATTTCTATTTTCAGATTTTTGAAAAGGAATTCGCCTTAACAAAAGAAAGACAAGCAAATTTGTAGAATGGGTTTTTTCTAAATGAAGAAAGATAATTAACTTAGCTTTAAGCTACTTTTAAAAGCTCACTGATATTAAAAGCAGATTTTCAGAAAAAAGTAGACATTAGTCCTCTAGAAATACTCTTCAATGTGATGGAAGGCTGACTTTGGAACTGTCTTTATGTGACTGAAGGTTCAGGTTCTATAGCTTCTATAGCATGTTGTTGAAGCTAGTTATTTTTCAAAGCTTGTAAATATTAAAAGCAGATTTTGCATAAGAACTTGGGAAAAAGAAAAAAAAACTCGTAAAATGACAATTATTAAATTTGCTTAATGGAAACACATCAATCTTGAAAAAACTCATGTTTTTCAATAAAAAGTTTTTCGGCTGTAGTGACATTAGTGTATTTTGTAAAACAGGAATAGAAACACTTTTTTCGTATCATGAGTCACATGATTAACAACCGGATGTCACAAACTTGGAAGCACAAAGACAACGACAGGAAGGATGATGGTGCAGTATTTATTGACTTATCATGTGAACAAATTTATTCACGTGTGATTTTTAATTCTAATCTTAATTAATAGAAACACAGCAAATGGTGAAATTATGATTTTTTTCAGCAATAGCAGAATATTCCCAAAGTTTATCTCACTTTTGTAATGAAAACGCAACTAATGACCATGAAATTGCACAAATTGGAGTCATGAAAATAAATTTGTTCATTTGAAACACGCTAGAAAAAACTTGTTTTTAAGCCAGTAAGGATGGTTTTTAAACTGTATCAAAATTAGTTTGTTGCAAAACTTCAATGGAAATACTATATTTGCATCACACAAGTCACATGATCAACAGCCGGATGTTACTGCTGGCAGAAATGACAAAGAAAACGACAGCAGGAAGTGGTGGGAGGTAGAATGTTTTTAATGGCTTATTGCAAGATCAAACTTATTCACGTGTGATTTCAATTACGTTTCTTATTTACCAACAAAGTAAAGGAAGTAGTTGAAAGGCAATTGCGAAATTGTGTTGTTTTTTTCTTACGACAAAGTTTTACGCACATTTGTAGCTGTAACTCGTATATTGACATTTTTGGGTTTCAAGTTTACAATCCTTTGGTTTGCTGATTTAATTAGATTTATTAATTTTAATGCTTTTAAAAATTAAACGATCCTCCTAGAATATCAGTTAGCTGAGTTATAAAAAAATATTTATTAAAGCGTGATATTTATGGAGATATGCTTCATTTTGCTGAATTTCTCAGAGGAAAACTGTTGTGGTTAGCTGGTTTTGGTGTTTAATTAGTCAGAAAAACTGAATTTCTTTGTGTCAGTTTAAGTTTCCATTCAGCTCATCAGTTATTTCTCTGAAGGCCAGTGTGAGGCGGAGGGTGGAGTTATTGATAGCATCTGATGCAGCAGTGAAGGACGGCCTGTGTGCATGTGGAAGCATTAGTTTTAGGGATTAACCTCTGCAGTCGGAGACACGGTGGCAGCAGCAGAATGGTTTCTAATGTGGGTGACGCCTGCTTTGCTGTACAAACACTGAAGTAAACAGGGAGCTGGATTTACAGCAAACTGTTGGTTTTACCAACTGAAGTCTCTTCCTTTGGACTTTTAATATTCAGTATTATATTTTGTAACAGTTTACATTTCTGTTTTATTCATGAATGCCACAGTGCTATATTTTTTCTCCATTTTTTCCACATGCTTTGGCCTGATTTTTATATATTTTCGTGGCCTTAGATATTTTCCTCCTTCGCTGACAATCAGCATGTCCCTACACTCTGCATCCAATGAGCTTCTTGAAAGATTTAAAAATGTTTCTCTATTGTTTTGGCTCTCCTGTTGTTTCCTGTCATGATCTGCAGCCGTTCTGAAAAAAGCCATGGTTTGTTTTCTAAAGCCAGGATGTTAGAAATAAAGTCCAGCAGTGAGAGAAATATGACACCATATTAGGGCCATTCTAAAAGAAAAAAAGATGTCTACAAAAACTTGGAAATTTCTGGGCTCCAAAAGTCAAAAATGTGAGAAGAAGCTCAGAAACTTTTCGATGAACTTCCACAAAAAACGTGGACATTTTCTGAGTTTCATGCGTCAAAACATTTTGGCTTTTCATGCAGAAAATTCCACGTTTTTTTTTTTTTTTTCTAGAAAATTTGTAAAATTGATCTAAAAATTTCTGAGATTTTTCTCAGAAATTTCAGAACTCAGAAATTAATGTTTTTTTCTTTCTTTTGAGATCAAGAATTTCTGAGTTTTTGACTTCTGCATCTCCAAAGTTCCTTTTTTTTTTTTTTGAAAATACGTGAAATTAATCTCGAAATTTCAGATTTTTTTGGCAGAAATTTCCAACCTTCGGAGCTCTGAAATTCACGTTTTCTCTGGAAAATTTTTCAAATTATTTTCAAGCTTTTTCAGTTTTTTGTTGCTCATGTAAGACTTTAGCTGCTCAGAAATTCCCGATGTAAAATAAATCTCCAAATTTTTGTCCCCAGTACTCCATCATAGAGAAATATCAGCTGTTTTTCTTGCTCCTGACTGTAAAACGTTGTGTAAACACGGCGCCCGCTTTCTGACCGCTAAAGTTTTCTTTTTTCAGAGTTTTCTTCCTGCTGCTGCAGGTCTGAGCTGAAAACCGAGAGTATCTTCTTGCTCTCAGTCACATCCATGTTTGGTTTCCCACATTAGCGCTGCTGTAGCTGCTGTTATGATAACACGGCCGACCCGACCCGACCGGCCAGCCGGCCTCTTCCTCCCCTCCAGCCTTCCTTGACGGGAACCTTTGCCCCATTGTTCTGTCGCTCTCTGTTTCGCCTGCAGGATTGTTTATCTGCTCGCTTGTTTTTTTGTTTTTCTGAGCTCCAACATTGCCGTTTATTTAACCTGCCTGTCAGAATAAGCACATTCTTCTCTGCTGTAAGGTTAGCGGTCAGTCACATCTACGCTGCATGTTTGATTCCCATGCTCACTGCTGATGAACTCATATGCAGATCCTGACCTGAAATGTAAAAGAAGTTCCTCTATTTCTTAGAAAGATGACTCCAACAATGGGGAGATAAGAGGATGAACTCCCAGCATCTTTTATTCTCTGTCTCCTCTGAACCATCCGATCCGTCGGTGTTTGTGTTTACAGCCCAGATAATCCGCCTCACACTCACTTCCTTTGAATTTAAGAAGGAAAAACAACTGAGTGGCTCTTGTCACTGTTGACTGCATCAAAACAACAGGAACTGAACTGGCTTAAAACCCTTTCTGATCTAATAAAGTAATCAAAAAGGTTAGAATATGGCAGCTTGACTTGACAACAGGAGCTAAAAATGCAGAAAAACTGGACTTGCACTGCAAAAACACAACATTTTACCAAGTATTTTGGTCTAGTTTTCTGTGCAAATATACTAGTACAGGTGAAATACGACAAAAGTAACTTAAAATAACTTTTTAGTAGAATAAGAAAGTTTGTTTTATGTCGATAGTTTCTTAATTTTGATGAAAAAGTTCTTGTTCTATCGTCATATTATTTCACTTATAACATGGGAAATGTCTCATTGCTATTAAATAATCTGACAGTGAAACTTGTACTTTTTTTATCAATATTAAAGAAACATTTACGTAAAACAATCTCCTATCTTTCTAAAAATTTACTTGTAAGTTTTATCTAAAGTTTACGGACTCAATGGCAACAAAATTATTGTTTGAAAAGTTGAAAATTTGCTAGAAAGATGTGAAATTTTGAGTTTTTACTTGCAAATTTTTGACTTTTGGAGCTCAGAGATTTCAAGTTTTTTTTTTTTTTTTTCTTAAGAACATTTCTTAGATAATTCCCAAATGTCAGAGTTTTTTCTTGCAAAGTTTTGACTAGTGGAGCTCAGAATTTCTCATGTTTTTTCTAGAAAATATGTGAACTTAACCTCAAAATTTCAGAGTTTTTCTGATGTAATTTTTTTATTTTTATTTTTCTATAAGATATGCAAAATTTATCTAAAAAAATGGGCAAACATTTACTGCTTTTTTTCTATCTATATTGGCTCTAATATTCTGTCGTAACAAGATTTTGTAATTATTTTTCTTAAAGTACTTTATCTATGAATAGGTCTAAAGTAAATGCATTCAAAGTGGTAAAAAATAAGATGTATCATTTTGTGTTAAACATGTGTTGTCAATTTAAAAGTGCCTTAAGAAATGAAAAACAAAACTCTCAGATATCAGAAGACAAAATAATCAAATTCACTTTAAAATTAACTAAGAACATCTGACTGCTTGGAGAAATTATGGTTTAGGCGTTTTGCACAGAAGACGCCTTAAAACACAGAATATCCAGAACATAAACAAAGCAAATCTAAATTTAATTCCTGGAGACATTTTGTTCTTTATGAGAGAAAATCAGAATGTAAAAGTGTGAATTTCAGTGTTGAAACTTCCAGCTGTGTTTATTATCTGAGGAAATCTCCCTCTCTCCTCTGTTTGTTCCCAGATCAAAATCACTAAGAAACTGTGAAGAGGTGGAATAAAAACCAAGCCGCCAGGTGCTAAAAGGCCTGAGCGCTTAAACACACAGAGGAAGAAATAATCCAAACACAGCAGCTGTCAGATCTTCATTTCACAAACAAAGCCAGCATTTAATCCGATCTTTTAGCCACAGAGCAGAGCTTAGAGTCTGGTTCCCTTCACCATACTCCTAACTTTATATAGGAAGAGAAATAAAACGGTTTTGCAGACTTTGTGCATTTTTTAACCCTGAAACTAAACCCAGAACTAGATATGACACAGTTTGAACACTTTTAAGGAAAAATCAACCTAAATTTAATGTCTAATTGTAGAAAATTCAAATCAAGTTGAAAATCTTACCAAGTATTGGTCTAGTTTCTAGTCCAAATATCTTAGCGCACTAAGATGGACAAAACTAACTTAAAACTAACTTTTCAGCAAGATATTGCTTGTTTTAAGTCAATAATTCCTTAATATTGATGGAAAAGTTTCAGTTCATTGGCAGAATAGTTACTTTTTAACAAAACATTTTATCTGCCAGTGAAACTAAAACTGTTTTTTTATCAATATTAAGGAATTATCGACTTAAAAAGGTTCTGAATTTTGCTTAAAAGTTACTTAAATCCTATTTCAAGTGTATTATGATATTTGCACTAGAAACTAGACAAAAATACTTGGTAATATTTTATATTTTTGCCGTGTGGAACAAAGGAAGTGTTCCCTACAATGCAGAAATGCAAAAGCATTTTTGTGTAGTTTCTAGTGGAATCATCTTAGTTCAATTAAAATAAAACTAAACTACATTAAAAGTAACTTTTCAGGAAGATGCAGTAGCTTGTTTTTGGTAAATAATTTCTTTATATTGATTTTAAAGAAAAGCGTGAGACACTTTCCAGTGTTATAAGTGAAATAATCCTCCAGTATAGGCAGTTTACCTTAAAAATACAAGCAATAACTGGTAATATTTTGTGTTTCTGGAGTTAAAACAACTCTTCTTTGTGCTTACTCACTTTTCCACAAATTTCTCCCTTCATGTGGCGTCAAGCAGCTGAAGAAAATCCATCTGCTGTCTGGTTAGGACCTGACAGACCCTGAAGTCGTTTCTGCTGATGGTCTGATAGAGACCCGAAGCGTTCATTAGGAGCAGAAAGCCCCCCTCCATTAGCCGCCATTGATTTGGCTTCATCCAGCAGTGATTGCTATCGGCCAGGTGGCGTGTTAGCCCGAATCCTGGAGCCTGAGGTTCTGTTTGGTGTAACGTTAGACTAAGACGGTCCAGGTCCAGAATCAAAGGAGAGCTTAGATGTGATAACGCCGATCCGGAGTGTTGCTGCAGTTCCAACAGGTGACCTCAGATTCCTGATAAATGACTCAAATGAGCGTTTGGCCGGTCCCCTTCCGGACTACATGGACTTTTAAAGAAGTTCCTGCAGGAAGGGAGAAAGTTTAAGATTGCTTTAATCGCTTAAAGTAGATAAAGAGATGGAAAATATGACCAGGATAATGAGCGAGACGAGTTAATGGCTTGTTTCCATCAAATTGTCATGCAAAATTATGTGCAAACTTTAAAAAAAGAATAAGAAGAAAATGTAAGGAAACAGGGGAATTTTTCAATTGCGTTACCTCAAAATGAAAATTGCTTTCCTTCGAAATAGATTTTGTACAAGAGTATTACAGCCATACAAAGAAAAATAATAAAAATAAAATTACGAGAATAAACTGATACAATTATTAGAATAAAGTAATAAAATTATTATAATAAGGTTTAATGAGAAAAAGCACAAATATTAAAATTAAGGCGTGCTAGAATATAGTCATAGTATTACACAGTATTGCACATAGGCATAATGCGAGAATAATTTCGCAGTATGATAATAAAGATGCATTGTGAGAATAAAATCATAGTTACGAGAATAAAGTCATATGAGAATAATTGTCTAGAAGAAACTTTGAAAATGTTCTGAGTTTATCAAAAAGTAAATTTTCAACTTTTGAAACTCAGAAATTTCCCCATTTTTTCTAGAATATTTCTCAGATTAATCTCAAAATTTCAGATTTTTTTGGCTGAAATTTAAACCTTTTCTATCTACATTGGCCCTGACAGACTTTCGTATTCCTGCCTTTGCTTAGAGGCTGAGAAAACCTGTTGGATGGCGGTGAAGGGGCAGAAAAGGAGAGACTGCAAATTAATAGAATAGCTCCTTCCTCCCTCCTCTTCCTCACATGACTGCATGTTCAATTAAAAGGTAGGTGGAGGAGGAGGAGGAGGAAGAGTATTGATTGACACTTGGAAAATTAATCCCCGACCAATGACTCCTGGTAGGAATACGGATCCTGACAAAAGGCCGGGATCAGCGACAGGGAAGGAGTAGAGACATGGGACGGATAAAACATGGAGGATAGAGACGCCGACCTGATCCATGCTGGCAGCTTTAATCGGATTTATTTCACTTCTCAATCCTGGTTCTTCACTGAAATGTTCATAATTATTCTCCAATTAAAAGGCTTGTTCTTCTTACTTCTGTTCTCATTTCATCTTCCTCATATAATTTAAAACATTTGCATGATTTTAAAGATTTAAAATAGTTCCTCTTTATCAATAATAATAATAATTCTAAATGTATTTATTACTAAGTGTTTGAAAGAAATTCTGAGATTGTTTGCAGAAGATACTGTAAATAGTTTATAGGAGATATTGATAGAAAATCCATAAAATGCTGATGTTGCAAAAACACAAAATCTTACCAGTTATTAGTAAACACACCTTAGTATACGTAAAATAATACAAAACTAACACAAAACTAAATTTTCAGCTAGATTTAGGAGCTTTGTTTTAAGTCAATAACTCTTGAATGTCAATGAAAAGGTTCTGTATAGAGCGGAGCAGCGGTCACTGACAATGTGAGTGGTGTTGATAATAGTTGTATGAATGTATGGATGTTAATGAGCTGTTAGCTTTGAGCTGTTAGCAATGAATGTCAAAGCAGCTAATATACTAAGTTCCTTCATATCGAGGCTTAGATAGATAGATAGATAGATAGATAGAAGTACTTTATTCATCCCAACCGGGAAATTACTGTGCAGTTGCAGCATACACATACACACAGACCAAATTACAATATGAAAAATAAAATAAAAATAAGATAAATGCATAAAATATAAAATGTAAGATGTAAGATTCTGTACAGTATGAACAGTGAAAATTAATGATCTGTACAGTCTGTTCAATAGTGCTTTGTAAACAATCTGTACAATATCGATTAATGAGCAGATATGTACAAAGGTAACTTAACATTTGTTATGTAAAGTGATAGCCTGTAGCAGGAAAGATTTCCTGTACCTGTCCCTGCGACAACGGAGCTGAAGCAGTCTGTGTGAGAAAGTGCTCCGCTGTCTGTCAACGTTCTCCTCTCCACCACATTTTCCAGGGTCTCCAATTGCAGACCCATTACAGAGCCAGCTTTCCTGATGACCCCATTCAGTCTTTTAGAGTCGCTAAAACCCAACTTTTCAGAGTTGCTTTAGACTAATAATAAAACATTGATCAATTTGATGTGTATTGATGATTTTGATGTTGGGATTTGATAAACTGTAATGTTTATTGCATCTCACAAATAAACGTGACCTAACTGTGACAGCTTTCAGAATCAGTTTTTAATGCCTCTTTTTATTCACTCTACTGACAGCTTTATTTGTCGAAGCTTCTCCCTATTAACCGTGGAGCATTTCCTGAAGTTCCTCCACCTCTCTTCAGCTCAACCCAACCCCACAGGGAGCTCCTGTTCGCGCTGCGGACGCCATTTCGTCGAGTCTGCCCCCCGCTGAGCTGCGGGTCGATTTTAAGCCAACATGCACCATTAACGAAGCCATACTGGCCTTTGTGGTGGATGGGGGGTGAAGAACGCACCCCGCTGGCGCTGGAGGCTCGGACCGAGCATCAAGCCTCACAGAAGGGTTTTACTGCTCTGGCAGCCCTAATGAGGAGGAGCAGGTTAATATTTTAACACTTGTGGCTATTCTTCAGCCATATGTCAGCTCTGTGTGTGACTGAGTTTTCTCATATATCAGCTTAACTAATGTTTGTGTTCATGTAGAAGGAAGAAACAAGTGATCCTGGGAAGGGACTCTCTTATTTGTCCTGGAAAAACAGCTTAATGCAGGTTAGGATAAGTTAATGGGCGATACAAAACATCTTTGACACTTTTTGCACAAAACGAGTCATAAATGATGAGATTTTATTCTGCTCCTTTCAGAATGAGCTGCTTTACGGTGTGATGTCTCTAAATCCTTGCAAGTTGCTGCAGGCCACAGCCCCCAAATCAAATTTGCTTTCTCACACCAAAATGGCTTCAAACAGATGTGCAATTATACAACCTTACATCGTCGAAAAGCAGAAGTGGAGCCTGCTGTCAACCAACAAGAATCCAGCAAATGGTTTCTGGAGGTAAGTCGACAACAAAAGCAGTAATGTTCCTCAATTGTTTGGCTGTTATTCAGACGTGAAGTTGTGTTCGTTGCTGGTTTGAAATCTTTATATATTTTTTATGAATTGTGTTTTTAAGCTACCATAACACTGTGGACAATAAAGATCATCATTATTACTATTATTACAAACAAAACACTCGTCTTTTCCAGCAGCCGTTATATAAGTAAAACCAGCTGAACAAACATTGTTGGAGCTCAGCTTTGGTTGCTAGGCAACAGGCGGACCTCTGCTGGGGTTGCTAGGTAACGGCCTGTGCCCTTTGAATGTGACTGAACATTCCGGAGATTTTTTGAAAGATGCATTGTGAGAATAAAATCATAGAGTTACGAGAATAAAGTCATATGAGAATAATTGTCTTTTTCCTGTTTTACATAGTTTTACTCTCATCTAAATGGATTCTTATCCATTTTAAAATCTTTCCTAAATCCGTCTCTGGGTTTCTGTCTGGTGTGAACCGTGCCGACCTTTCAGGTCATCAAAGTCCTGTTAACTCAGTGTGAACTAAAGAATTCCCATGATGCTCTGCTTTGGCGCCAACTCCCTGAAAAACTGAAAAAATACAGAAAACATTGACTCCTCTAAGTCAGAACTGAAAACTTTTTACTCGGTGCTACAGTATGAACCATCTGTAATCATATTTTTGCAGCGACTCCCCTTCACTCTCATGTTATCGATGACAATCCAAATTGTTTTCTCCCAGACTGAAGCGGCGACGGCTTCTTTTGTCCTCACTTGTCATAACATTTATTGTAGCCAGCAGAGGTGAAGGGGCAGCAGCTCTCAGTTCGGGTTTCTTTCTCCTTAAAAGCATTTTTGTTTCTCATTCAGGTGTGTGTGATTTCCTCCTGTGTCTGCTTCAAACAGAGCAGTTTACCTCCGGCAGGTTTTTAACTTCTGACACTTCTGATGTCCTTGAAGTTGCAGGAAAAATGTGCTTTGGACTGCTTCGAGGCAGTGGAGCTTTGTGCGTGCGTGCGTGCGTGTGTGTGTGTGTGTGTGTGTGTGTGTGTGTGTGTGTGTAGATAAAGTGAGAAATTACTCAGGTCTGCAGCTGAAATATGATCCGTTCATACTTCTTTTTCATGATCATTTCACACATTCTACAGGTGGAACAAAGAAACACACAGATTTGCAAATTAAACTTCAAACAGATTCTCCCTGCTAAACTGTAAAAACAAGCAGCAGTTATTAATAGGAGTAAAAACAACAGCACATTAGAGCCTTTCAAGATGGAAAGAAAAATAAAGGTGCAGCAAATTTCCACCAAAAAACTCAGAAATTTTCTTGCATGAAAAAGGAAATTTCTGAGTACACAGGTCAACAATTTTCTAGACAAAGTCAACAATTTTCAGACTAATAAATAAAAAATTGGGGAAAGAAGCATCAAATAGTTTTAGAATAAAATAAAATAAAGTATTCTACAAAACCCCCCTCAAAATTTTGATTTTGAAAAGTTTAAAATTTTCCTTGAAAAAAACTGGGAAATTTCAGTTTGAAAAGTCAAAAACAAATTGCTAGAAAAAAATGCTAAATTTTGAGATTGTCAGAAATTTTCCAATCAATTTGGATATTTCTAAAAAGTCAAACATTTCTGATTTGTAAAACTCTGACAGCCAACAATTTTCCACTTGTGGAACTCAGTTGTTTTTTCTAGAAAATTGATGAGATTAATCTCAAACTTTCAGATTTTTTTCTACCAAATTTTTTGACATTTGGAGCTCAGAATTTTCCTAACTTTTTGATAACATTTTACTCTTCCTTTTTCTTTCTACAGTGGTTCCAATGCATTTATCTTTCCCATTTGGTCTGAAGCACCAGCCCATTGTGGGGATCTGCTATATAGCAGGAAAGGCCTGGTAATGTTCCCAAGGGAAACAGGAGCACGGCCCTTCAATGGACATTGTTATTAGGCTGCTTCCCTTAGCGTGACCCGCCCCGCCGTTCCTGCTGCTGATTAATGCAGAGATGTAGCATTTGCAGCTTGGAGCATCAGCCTACAGTCAGTCAAATAGTGTGGTACAGTAAAAATCTGCACAGTTTTTATTATTGTTTAAAGGGTGTAATGCAGGTTTTAAACTTGGTTATTTCTGGTCTGAGCAAACAAAAATCAAATGTGGGGTTCCTCAAGGCTCCATTATTGGGTCACTCAAAAACACAATTGAGGTTGTTGAATTATCAGCTGGAAATATGAGTGATGATCCCGGGTATTGGGCTGAATTGGTCCAGATACTTTTCTAAATTCGTCATTTCTGATCTGAGTGAACAAAAATCACTCAAGGCTCCATTTTCGAGTCACTCAAACACACAGTTATTAGCTGGAAAAGTGAGTGATGTTCTCTGGCTTTGGGCTAATTTGGTCCAAATACTTTGGTCAGTTGGTAATTTCTGGTCAGAGTGAATAAAAATCAAATGTGGGGTTCATCAAGGCTCCATTCTCGGGCCACTTTAATAAAATTTCTATGTAGACAATATTTCATCTTTTATCACACGTTTGGCAGAGAAACATAACTTTATATCTGTTTCCATATTAGCAGTAAGTTGGTCTTTCAGATGATGTAATTTTGCTGGAGAAAGTTGTTGCTTTTTTTACCCAGCACTTCTTCTTCTGCTCTCCACCAGTCAGTGTTTCTTGTTTTTTGCAGTTCAATCTGAAACCTCTCTGGATTTCACTTTGTTGCTGTAAGTTTTTCTCTCCCCCTCTATTAATGTCATGAATACAGTGAGATGCATACAGTTTGGATAAAACCATTCACTGGGAGGCGTCAGCAATTGTTCTTGAACACATTTCCACACAGATACTTTTTAATTCCCTCATCTTTACATCTGAAGCTCATGTTTAGAAAAGCTGAAAACGCCTTCAGGCCGATTCAAACCGACGTCTCTGAGCTGCTCTGTGAGAAAATGTTTGAGACGTTTCGTCGCTTTCAGCTTTCCCTTCCGAGTGATTTATAGGCGTGGAAAACACAATGAAAGCAGAGACGATAAATCAGGATTTTATCAGCTTTGACATTTGAAATGTTGTCTGAAGTACAGAACCTGCTAAACAGAAAGAAATGAGAAGTATGGCATCGAAGCAGAAAACAAAAACTCAAAGAGGAGGCCAAGATCTGCTGGTTTTTCTGGATTTTAACCAGTTTTATTTTAAATAAATAAAATAATGAGAATAAAATTCAGGTTGTTTTAATTCAAATGGAGGGGACTCTACTGGATGTCTAATTAAATTAAATAAATATGTAAATTGTTTTACATTTAATTTTTTATTCCAAACTTTCAAACTTGTATCCCATTACAAAACAGCATTAATTAAATTAAATTAAAGTTTTTGAATGCTGCAAATATTTTATAAAACATTTAATCCAACTAGTTAAACGTAATCTGATTGAATATTTTACATTATTACCCTTTCTTATAGAAAACAGGTGAAAATAATAAAATTTATAGTTATAATCAAAGTAATTTAATTCAAATATTCAACATATATTCTTAATTTAAAATGTTTTTATCTCAGTTAACACTTTAAATGTAAAAATGTTTATGTTGCATTTATTTTTTAAATTTATATTCATAAATATAATTATTTTTCAAAGTCTACTCTGTTTTCCTTTAAATAAAACCCAGAAGATATGAGATTTCTGTAGATATTTCTTCAAAAACCACATGTACAGCACAAAGGGTTCATGTATTTTATTTTTTTCCTGATTATTAATTCACCATGGATCCAACTTTGAAGAAGTAAACCTCAGTCCATTACACTGCAAAAATACCAAATATTACCAAGTATGTTTTTATCTAAATACTTGTGGAAACAATTAAAATAAAACTAAACTAACTTGTAATTTTGCTGGAGCTTTTCAGCAGAAGTTGTGAGCTTATTTAAGTCAATAATTTCTTAATATTGATGAAAAATTACTAGTTACATTGTCAGATTATTTCTCTTATAACGTGGGAGAAATATCTTGTGAAAATAATCTGCCGGTGGAGCTAGTATTTTTTAAGGAATGAACTTAAGCTTCTATATATTGCTGAAAAGTTACGTCCAAGTTAGTTTTGTCTTGTTTCAGGTGTATTAAGATGTTTCCACTAAAACCTGGACCAAAAATACTTGGTAATATTTTGTATTTTTGCAGTGCAAATCCAGTTTTTTGTTTGGAAACCTTAGAGAACAACGTGTTCATTAATAACCCTGAAGATTTAGTTTTGGTTTATGCAGGAAAACGTTTCTGTTAGGACAGCATTGACGGGCGGACTCGGCGCTAATGAGTCTGTTTCTCATCCTGCGCTTGTTGGATTAACTCAGAAAGGATCTGATGGAGGGAGGGAAGCAGCTGAAAAGGGAAGCGAACAGAGGGGATGTGGGGGAGAGAAATCGCTCGGACCCTCGGGGGGTCGGCTTCTCTTTCACCCTCTCCATCTCTGAGAATCAACACCTCAACGCACCACTATCTCCCAGCTCCCTTTGGGATTCAAATGATGCCTCATTAGCACTTATTGGATTGTAACTTCCATGGGATGCAAAGTGTTTCTTTTTGTCTTTGTCTGAATGAAAAGAGGCTCTGGTTGTGTCTCAGAGAAATGTCTCAGTTTTCCTGGTTTCCGCTTCTCTTCTTTTAGCTCAACAAGGATTTCCAGCTTGTTCCAGCAGTCAGGATTCAACTTGTCCTCTTTTTGGACTTCTCGGCATCCCCGGAGTGCCTTTGTCTCCCCCTGATGAGGAAACTACATTAACAGAAGAGACAAAACAAAGTCATTAAAGCAGAGAATCTGAGCTGTTATGAAAGGAGTTCACACATTTCGTTCACAAGCAAAGTTCGGTTTAACTATCAGATAAAACGGAGGATGTGAAGCAATTTTGCTGGACAGAAGAGCTTTGTTAGCAAAAATCATTCTTTCAGGCTAACTGGTTGAACTGTTTCAGTTTTGTTGGTTACTTTAACCAACGGAGTTCCACAGGGATCAAATCTTGGTCCTCTTTCATTTAAAGGGCCAGTTTTGTGTCTTTTGTGTATATGTTTCATAGTGAGCACTGAAAAAGCAAACCAGGTGATCCAACTTTTAAAAATTTGAGTTAATTTGATACAAGTAATCAAAATGAGTTTTTTTTATTATTATTTGCAGAGAGATTGGGTTGCATGTTTTAAATGATCATGAGGCTCTTAATGTTGTTTTTTAAAGTAATTTGGATCATCTTTTATATTCTCTTTTGGCTCTTGCAGCTTCAGAATCAGGGAAAGTTTCATAACTGAACTTGAATCACCTTTTCAGGTATTTTTCTTTGACTCTCCTCCATAAACAGACTCCATGCTTTGTGTCCGGACCAGATTCTGCTTGTTTCTGCAGATACTCGGATGCTCTTTGACTTCCCAGGATGTTTGAGCTGTAATAGACGGATTAACTCTTTATTCCCGTCGTCCCTCGGGGGACAGATCTTCAGCTTCGTTCTGTTTGTGTTTTTAGGATGACAGGAGATCATCCGGGATCAACACCTTACATGTTTCCTCTTCTTCCTCTTTGTTAGTATTTTCTTTTCAGTCTTTAACTCTTTGTCCTCTCTGAAACTGGTGCATTACTTTCTGCCTCATTAACAATCAGAGGTGATTTTTTTTTTCAAGTAAAAGGATTTCTTCATTTGTTCTCCTGAAACTAGACAGAAAATAAACACTTAGGAGAAGCATCATTTTATTGAATTTTGGCAGAAAACGATTTAAATAAACCAAAATGCTGTGCAAAAGAGGTTGACCTGACAGTTACTTTTTTTCACTTTATCTTCAGATTAGTCTTGTTTATTGTTTCATGAATCTGTCGGTCACCACAAAGATATTTCTGTGTGCAGCAGAGTGTGCTGCAGTTATTTAGTGTGTATTCTCTTGTTTGTGTCCAACAGGACCCGCGTGTGTGGTTCTGATCCAGTTTTTCCTCAGGACCTGCCTGGCATTGTGCTGCTTCCTGTCCTGGCAGACATTATGGGGACAAATAAGAGACGGACGTGTGCGCAGAGACACACAGAAATACACACAATAGGTAGGTGTTTTCTCACAGGATTCACGGCTGGAGCTAGCTACTTAGCTAGGTAGCTGAGTAGTTTGCTAATTAGTGGGCTAGCTGGTTAGCTACTGTTGCTATAGTAAAGAGAGCCACTTTCTGCTAGAGCTAGAGCTTTTATAAAGAATAAAATTAATTTCAAAGGTGTTTTTTTTATTTGCTAGGAGATAGTGCACATTAATCACATAATATAATGTAAATGTGTGGCAGTTAGCTAGTCATCTCGGGTTGCTAGGTAACGGGCTAGCCCTCCTTGGGGTTGCTAGGTAACGGGCTAGGCTTCCTTGGGGTTGCTAGGTGACGGAGCAGTACCTGCTGATTTGTTTTTGAAATGGCTCGTTTTCCAGTCAAAAACATGAACTTATTGCCAAAAAAATCTGGTTCAAGTGTTTGCTAACATTTTCTTGTAAACTGCAAAAGTCTTCTTCTCAAAAAGCTTCTCGTTTATTTTGCTTTTCTTTCATTTTTTTACCCGTCTGTTTTGTTTCCATCCTTCCTTTCTCATCTTAGTCGTCTTTTTCTTGTTCTCTCATGGGGGTCTGCAAGCTTTAACAGTTAATTTAACTCTTTATTTCCTCCTGGTTTCTCTTTGTTAATCTTTTAGAGAGATTACATGAGATTATCAAGGATAAACCCACAGATTGAAAAAATAGAAACCTCTGAAACTGAACTGTGCATTTTCTTCTTTATGTCACAAAAATATTTTTTTCCTGTTTTTAAGTAAAGGAAAAGTAATTTTTTAAATTTTTAAGATTTAAAGTTTTACCACCATGTTTTGTGGTAATACTGTGAGAACTATAAGAACTATTTATTGATTATTTGTTTAGGTAACTGTATGGGTGTGACTGTGTCACAGCAATTATAGTCCCACAAACACAAATGCTATCTTGAAAAACATTCCCATTTGTAATTTGCTTCTTTAGGACACCCACCACTTAAAGAAATGTGATTTATATAATCAAACTGCTTCTCGTAACTGCATTTAATCATGTTTTTAAATTTATTAGTATTTATTGACACTTTTAAGTGAACAGACAACAGAAAAAAGAGTTAAAAATAACAATTTGAACAGTTTTGGGGGTTTTAAACAGTATTAATTGGAATTTATTGTGACAATAATAAATCCGAATTCTTATCATAATAAGAAATTTATCTCGATAAATGATAAACGTTGCGGTAAATGCGGCCCTACAAATATATTTATATCATGTCTTTCTATCCCTCAGCATTGTTTCGTCTTTGTTTCCTCCTTCCAAGCTAATCTGCATCTCAGTGGTTGTTATCTTCATCTGTAATTATCCAGCACCGCTCCTCCTCTTCGTCGCCTGGTTGCCTTTGTGATCCCTGCAGCTCTGCGTCGTGCCGGATCGGTTTCGGGTCTTTGGATGAAGAGATCCAGGGGGTTGAGTGGGAGGTGAAAGGGGGGAGCGAGGGTCTGTGATCCCCTTCTGTGTGCATTATTCAGCCTTGTTTGCATGGATAAGCTGCTGTGGAGGAGAAAGTTTAGAAAGAGAGAGAAAGAATGGGGGAGGAGTGTCACCAAAACGGAGAAATCGGGGCCTGGGATTGTTGGAAGTTTTAAAGATATTATCCATCAACACAAACCCAGTGGTTCCTGTTTTTTAAGTTATTTTAATGTCCAAACATGGCAGCTGGCATCGGTATTTCCACCGCTGATTGTGACGGCTGTTTATGATTGTTGACAAAGTCACAAAAGAACCAGACGCTGTTTGCGCCTGGTTTTGTGGGCAAACGTAAACTTTCACTCCAGCAGAACAAATACAAGAGCGATCGCAGAGATAAGATGGAAATTCAATAAGTTAAAAAAATAATAATCTGATGAAACTGGTTTGAACGTACAAATAAAATAAACTCATTTACAATGAAGGACAGTCAAAAGAATAGAAATATTTGTATGTTTGTTCCTTATTCAGTGTAGAAATATTTAAACTGAAGAACTGGACAATATGACTGAAAAACATGTGTTCCATATCAGACGATATTGGCAATTATTGATTAGTTTTTTTGTTTTAAATATCTGAAATGTTACCTAACTGGTGGCTGAACTTTCCTGTTTTATCCACAGTTTTCTCTTGTTTTTAATTTTTAAGGGAGTGTGGTGCTGCTGCACCAGTTACGCAACAGGCTGTTGCTAGGCAACCATAAGTTACTCAACGGGTTGTTGCCATTGGTTATTTCTGAGTATCTGAGATTCCCCTACTGTTCGTTAAATTTATTAAATTTGATATCTTATTAATCAAATTTCTTCTGAACTAATTTTTTCTGAATTATGTTTTGAATATTTATGTAAATGTTGTGGAAGCTGAACCCCCCAAAAACAAATAAATATCCAACATGGGCGCCACACAGCAGCAGGAACTGCTTCTGAAAACCTGCTGATGGTTTGTGTTTTATTAAACGAGTAATACACACACAGATGAGAACATAACCTAACAAATATGCTGCTCTTATGTTAAAGTTAATAAAATACAAAGATGTGTTTCTCTCTAGTTTCTAATGCTACTAAAAGTTAGCCTGGTCAAACGGAGTCACATTTGTTGTGGCCTGTGAAGCTGATTCTGATTCTAAATCTGATTGTTGTTGTTGAAATCTTTTTTTACATAAATTTAAATATGGGAATGGGTTTGGAAAGCAACAAACATTTGGACATTGTTATTCTTTCTGACAAGGAATGTAGCAATCAGCTCCATTAAACTCCTCTGTGGTTTTAAGCGTGAGGTTAACCACTATAATTACTTTGAATCATATGATGCCGATTACACAATTGTACATTTGTTTAGGAAAAAAACCCACAGAGTTCAAAAATTCCTTTTTTAAAGTATAAACTTTGGAAAATCTGCTTCGAAGTACAACAGGAGCAGATTGAGCAGCTATAGGAGCCTGAGTTTTCTGAACATGGAGCTCAGAAGGCCGGCATAGCGAAGAGTTTTTACCTCTGTCGGTGCTTTAAAATAACATGAGCAGTTCAAACAGAGCGGAGGAGATGCTGAGGAGCGTCATGGCTGGAGGTTACAACAGAAATCCCAGAGGAAGACGTTTTGATGCTGGCGGTTTGAGCTGAACATGAATATAAAGGAGAGATCAGTCATCTGTGATGAAGTTTATGTTGTTTAGAAAATGGCTTGATGAAATTTGAATTTCCAACGCTGAGCCCTGCAGGCCTGTGGAGAGACTAAAGAATGGATCTTAAAACAACCAACAGCACTCTGTTTGTTATAAAGGATTCTGTTCTCCTTTTTAAATAATGCGGTTCTGAACTAAAGACAGCTTCTGCCATTTTGTTCTCTTACCTGTGTTTTTTGCCTTTAAACCAACTCTTTTGTTCCTGAACTATTGTGTACTAGTTTTTTCTTTATAGTTAAAGGGGATCTGTTATGCAACATTCACATTTTTTATGTTTTCATTCTTCCATTTGGTTCTCAACTGCTTCTAAAAACAAACCAAGCGCTTAAAAAA